AACCACAAAAGACCCTGAATGGCCAACACAATTTTGAAAAGAACAAAGCTGAAGGCTTTCAGACTACATTTCAAAGAGATAGCAAACAAAATAGCATGGTTTCAGCATAATAACAGACACATAGATAAATGGAACAGAATACAGAGGCCAGAAATAAGCCCATATATATATGGTCAATTAATTTCTGACAAAGAAGCTAAGAATATACACTGGGGAAAGGATAGTCTCTTAAACAAATGGTGTTGGGAAAACTGGATAGAAAGTGAGCCTTGCATTAGACAGACTTGGCTCTCCAGCAGGGATGTTCCCTGATGAGGTAGTTAAAGATTATGTGAACTGGGGGTTCAATGTCCAGGATTCTGTCCAATGTATAATAGATAGCATTATTGTCTACCTTGAGAAGACAGTCAAGAATCCAGGTTGTGTGGATAGAGAGGATAGGATAGCAGGGATCAACAGCTAGAACTATGAAAACCTGAGGAACTGGGCTTGAGAGTTGCCAGTCTTGACTTCTTGCATTAATGGACCATTCTGTGAGCAAGGAGGTGAAACCAGAATGATTTTTCCCTTATTTCATCCCGCCAGACAGTGGAAAGTCAAAGGCTCTGACTTCCTGGCCAATGATGAGTTCCTACAGATGTATAAAGCTAGTGCCATCTTTCTTAACAATGATAAGATTTCCAATAAGAACGTCATGAAAAAGAGTTGATTCTTTACAAAACTGTTCTAGGGACATTTTTGCCAATGCCGGCTTCATAAAAGATGTTGAAAATATCATCTCTATCCCTAAGGGGCCTGACATGTGGTCCCTGGTCATCTTGATGGATGCCACGTTCCAGCAAAGGTGCTCTCAGAAGATATTGCCCATTTGGACCCTAGTCTGATCAACAACAAGGATATGTATTTATATTTATATATACATAACATATATTTGTTTTTTTTTTTTTTTTTTTTGGCGGCACTGCACGGCTTGCGGGATCTTAGTACCCCGACCAGGGATTGAACCTGGACCATGGCAGTGAAAGCCTGGAATCCTACCCACTAGGCCACCAGAGAACTCCCTTTTTACTTTTTTTTTTCTCATAATATATATTTAAACATATGTAAGGAGGCAAAGATAGGGGCCACAGACACCCAGACTCTGGTTTACCCTCCCTGAAAAAAAAAATGGAAGAGGAATATGCTCTATTTTTTTCTAAATGGTTATACATAAATTATGCCAACATCATTTACTGCATAAAACTTCATTTCCTCACTGATGATGTCACTTTTATTATATACTAAGTTCTGTTTATACTAAGGCTTGTTTCTAAGTTATCTATGGTATTTTGTTCACTAATCTCTGTCAGTTTTGGAACCAGTTTCTCTAGTTTTGATTATTTTTTCTTTTTGTTTTAAACAAGATTATTAGTCCTCAAAAATATGTTTTAAAATCTGTGAGACAAATCTTCCCACATTACTCTTCTTTTAAAAAAATTGTATTGGTTAATTTTAACTTATTGTTTGAGATGAACTTCAACATTATTTGGTCAAAATATAGCCAAATAAATCTCCCTAAGATATTATTTTGAATTAAAGAGCATTTAGAATAGTCTTCTTATCTAAGATCATGGTTTATACATTTATTTACTAAGAGTCTTATTTTAGTTCTCTCAGAAATGAGTTGTTCACTTTATATAGGTTATGAACAGTCAAGACATTTTTTCTTCACATTAGTCCTAATTTTTGGTATGTGTATAAAATATGTACATGTGGGTCCACTTATATGTGGATTTTTTTCAATAAATATAATACCTGTGTTTTTATTTTATAGATCTTTAACTAAGTGTGGGGAAAAGTTTGTGTTCGATTAGAGATCATAATAAGTGGAATCAAAAGAACTAGTGTTTGAGTCCTGATTCTCTCCAAACCGTTTCAGCTTCCTGCCTTTGGGTGAGTCATACTTATCCATTCCTTTGTTTTTGAGGCAGAGATAGCACTTCTTGGGGAGGTTGGTGACCCTAACCCCTGCATTGTTCAAGGGTCAACTGTATGCATATACACATACACTCTTTTGTAGCTATTGGGAATGGAGGTTTTCAAACTTTCTATCAGTTACTACTGGTATATAGAACAACTGTTAATTTTTTTTGGGGGGGGGCCACGCTGTGCGGCTTTCAGGATCTTAGTTCCCTGACCAGGGATTGAACCTGGGCCCTCAGCAGTGAAAGCATGGAATCCTAACCACTGGACTGCCAAGGAATTCCCATTTTTTAAAATAAGTTTTTAATTATAGTAAAATGACCCCAAATTTTCCATTTTAGTCATTTTTTTAAACATCTTTATTGGAGTATAATTGCTTTACAATGGTGTGTTAGTTTCTGCTTTATAACAAAGTGAATCAGTTATACATATACATATGTCCCCATATCTCCTCCCTCTTGCATCTCCCTCCCTCCCTCCCACCCTCCCTACATTTTAGTCATTTTTAAGGGTACAATTCAGTGGCATTAAGTACATTCATATTGTTGTGCAACTATCACCACTAACCATCTCCAGAAATTTTTTCATCATCCCATACTGAAACTCTGTACCCATTAAACAGTAAGTCCACATTCTCCCCTACTCCCAGCACCTGGTAACACTTGTGAATTTTTTTGCGGTATGCGGGCCTCTCACTGTTGTGGCCTCTCCCGTTGCGGAGCACAGGCTCCGGACGCGCAGGCTCAGCGGCCATGGCTCACTTAGAAGGGCAGAAGAGTGGGTGGAAGCTGTGGAGGTGGAGACTGTGAGTGTAGGCCACGCTTTCAAGATATTTATGGGTGAAGAAGAGAAAGAAAAATAATTTGGTAGGGTAAGGTGGTAGGGTAAAGAAATTTCTTTATTTAATCTTGAAGGATCTTGAGTAGGTTTGTAGAAGATGGTGGAGGGGAGTCAGAGCTAGAAAATTTTTTTTAAAAAGGCGTATTTTATGAACTAACATTCCAAAGATAGTGAGAAGCCTGGGCTCCTGTATACAGTATAGTATGCAGTGTACTGAAGGAAGGATTAGCCTATAGTAAGGAGAAGGTTGGGATTAGCAAATTTATAGGTAAATCAGGGGCTGAAGGGAGACAGGGTGGGACTGCAACTGGTGGCCACTAATTTTTATATGATGTATGAGTCAATATTATAAGTCAAATGAAAAGACAAAAGCAGAAGTAGGGCTAAGAAATTTGACTTTATTAGGAATTTTGGAGGGTGTAGTAATGGGGGAGGGTTGGGTTTTAAGAAGAACAATCTGGCATCCTTTGAAGAGTGGGTTTGAGTAGGGTGGGAGTAGAGACAGGACATTTAAGGAAATCCAGAACTAGAGTGGGAATATGAGAGATGCAAATAGGCATAACAAATTGAATCAATACACATTGGGACAAAAATACTCTCTGGGGAATTATATATAATTTAATAATAATAATAATGATAATAATAACCATTTAGATCTGTGGAAGATTAAAAAGTAGGAACTGCAATACCACAGTCCCTACCCTTGAAATTGAAATCTGGGAATGGAGCTCCAGAAAAGCAAAGTAAGGACAGTGGGAATATCTGTCCTAGCAGGATTTGAAAACAAGCTGAGGTAAACTGCCCAGGCAACAGGGCTAGATGGCAAGTCCCAGTCAACAGCTGGGAAAGGAGAGGTGCTTCTTGAACTGACTATTGACCTACGCTTTAGAGTGAGATGGTGCATACCTTGCATGTTATGGATAGTGCCATGAGTAGTAAAATATATTGTGAAAATATATCTATTATGAATTGCTGATATGGGGCTGTCTGATTAATGACTGAAGGAGAAAAATAAGGAAGTATCTAGATGCCTCTCAAACTCCCTATTAAGACTTTGTGTGCGTGTAACAGACCCCTTTTAAAACTTGAGGAAAAGTTATGAATCCTCTTCTCAGAAAATGCACAACTAACACACAAAATATTGCCCATAATTTTAGGGGGTTCATAAACTTCTGAAACCTATCCATGGACTCCAAGTTAAGTATTGTTCTCAACGGTCTTTTCTCCCAATAAACAGCTCAACTCTCAGTCCTATTTTAGAAAATAGTAAGTTAGTAGATCGGAAGCAGCTTCTGGAAGCAGGTGGATTTGGGAGATTAGTAGGCGTTACTACACATTCCTTACTTTTTTAAGTATAAAGACATGGAAATGCGACGGAAGATGCCACATTCTGGATCTTTCAGGAGGCTGTTATGGACACTACAAATAATTGTTTCTGACCACAGATACAGCTGAGTCATTCAGCAAATATTTACTGGGCGACTGATATGTACAGGCACTGTGCCAGGAAGCGAGCTCACCAAGATAAAAAAGACATCATTTGTGTCCTTGATGAGACATTCACATGTAAAAGCGTGAATGTAGTTACTGGTGGCCGTAAAATAAAGGTCACCTAAGACTGAGAGGCATTCTGGAGAGACGGAAAGGACTTTGAGCTCGTAGTTTGATTTTTGGCTTCACCATATTCTAGACTCGTGAGTTTGGCGTCACTCAATCTCAAATTGCTTCATCTATCAAATGGGGTAAAAAAAGTGGACGAAAATTGTAAATCTTCAAAAAGATAACCTTTCTAAAAATGAACGTGGACAAATAAAAAATGAAAGTTCGAGGCTTATTGGAAGTGATAGTTGCGAGGGTCCCCGTCTCTACAGCCACCGCGGCGCCCCGCACGCGGTCAAAATCCACTCAATAAACCTTCCGGGCCGTATCAAGTTCCGCTTCCGCAGGCAGGTTTTCGCTGTAGGCAAGAGCGCAAGACGCCCGACGCAGCGTAGCGTCGGACCTCCCCGATGCGCATGCTCTCTAAGCGAGGCGGAGCGCGGAGGGCGGGGGAGTGGCCAGGCGCGGCGGCTGGCCGGCTCGTTCTCCCTGCATCCCCGCGCGGGAGGCTGGGGCGCGCGCGCGCTCGTTCGCGCGGCTGGCTGCGTACAGTAGTGACGGCCGCGCGGGAGCGGTCACATGACCGTAGCGGCTGCCTGTACAGTAAGGACCCAATATGGCAGCGGCGGTAGCAGTGGTAACGGCAGCAGGAGGACCGGCCGCCCCATAGACCGCCCCCCGCGCACCACCCCCGCCGCTTCCTCTGCTTGGGTGCTCCTCCGGCCTGACTTCCCCTTTCTCCCATCTTTCCCGGCACCGCGGGAAAAACAGCGCAGGGCAGAGCAGGCAGGGAGGGCGGCCGCAGCCCGGACACGGGAGCCTCCCAGTCAGTTCAAGACCCGACATGAGGGAAAAGGGCCGTAGGAAGAAGGGCAGGACCTGGGCGGAGGCCGCCAAGACGGTAAGGAGGAGGGAGCGGACGGGAAGGCTGGGAGGATTTCGTTCCCTCGCCGCCCGCCGGTTGCAGGGGAAGGGAGGTCAGTGGCCCTGCGACCCGGCTGAGGGGGCACAAAACCGCGCTGTGAGGGCGGAGGTTAGTGTCGGGTTTGTGGTCCCTGTGGGAATGGAGGCGCCCGGCGGAAGAGGGTCACCGCGGGGCTGTGGCTTCTCCCTGCGTCTGCGACGAGTCCTCTTGGTGTTTTGAAGCTGCTGCTCGGGGTCACGACGCTCTCGCCCCCACTCTGTGGTAGCCCCCGCCCCGGCATGGGGAAGTCTCTTGGGCTTGCACAGTAACCGGTTCTTCTCCCTTGTGTGGCTGAAGAGCCCCCATTGGATGCAGATAGGAGAAGGCTTGTGCGTGTACCTAGCCCCGGAAAGAAGAGGGGAGCGCTGGAGCTGGGTAGAATTGACCCGCTATAGCAGACACGCCGCCTGACCCCGGGCCCCTTGCCTGTCTGGGCTCCCGGCTCAGGCCGGAGGTCACGAGGCTCTTGTTTTACGTTTGTTGTTGGAGCTGAAAGTGCAGGAGGTGTTTAGAAACGAAGTAACAGGTGGGACTTGTAGAATTTTTTTTTTCTGTTTCCGTAGAGACCTACTCTGAACAAGGCAGCAATGCATGGTGGGACCTGTAGTTTACCCGGCCTTGACTTTTCCGTAGCTAAAGTGATGGTGGCCTCACGAAGTTGTAATTAGTGGATAAAACCATCTTTTTTTTTTTCCTTCTAAATTTATTGTAACGAAATTTAGAGGTAGGTTTTAAAAAATAGAGTATTGAGGATGAATGAGAAGTTATGTTTTATGAAAAAGTTAAAAGCATCCACTATGTGGAAATGAAAGGTTTGGAAAAGTAAGGTTGCAGCAGAAAAGTAATAGGATATAACACAGCATTTTAGTGTTGGGAAGTGAGAAGGACTGGAGGCATTATCTTTAATGGTGAATCATGTCAGTAATACTTATTCAACATGGAGAGCCCTTCTAAATGAACCTTTATTATGTGTTGTGTTTTATTTTTTAAAGGGGAGTTTTCTGAAAAGTAATAAATGTTCACTGTAGGAAAACTTGTGGAAAATTATAGAATTTTAGTATAAAGAAGGAAATAAATCATGTATTTCACTTCTCAGAGCTCTGTTAACATTTGGTATATTACGGTCTAGTCATTTTTGTTTATTTCCCCCAATCTGGGTCCTATTGTTTATTCAATCTTACACATTTGTTTTGTAAACCTTGTGCATTTGTTTTGTAAATGTTTTGTGTTAGGGGGTTGATGAGTCTTCAACTTGTGTGTGCTTTAGTTGGAACTGTGAAAGAAAGTGAATAAATAAAAGCACATTTTATTTGTTGGGTGTCTTCACTTAACCATATATCTTCATAATTGTGACTGCTGGTCGTTTCTCTCTAAAGAAAAAACTCTAGAAATAGTTTTTTTGGGTGGTGGGGAAATTGGTCCTTCACAGAAGACTCTTTTACTTTGTTCTACTTGATCAATACTACCTCAGGACCTCTTTTATTTAAGGAAGGATGGTAAATTTTATTTACAGGTAAGCAGATCCCAACTCTAATTATGTTAATTAATTTTAAGTCTCTAGAATGTCCTGAGTGCTTTTTGAATTATCTCTTTGGATAAAATAGTCATTGAGAGATTGTGGCAGGAAAAATTTGCATCTACTGTTTAGATTTTCCTATAATAAATTAGTATATTTGCTCATTTATAATAAATATTTCAAGCCTTAACTAGTTATGTGGAAGTACTTAAAAGATGTAAAGACTAGTTTAATCAATAGAGCTCTGAGTTCTGAAGGGATTAGTATGTTAGTGGCTTGGTATTTTTATTTGATTCTGGCAAATGTGTAAGACTTCAGTCTAAATCAAAATGAATTTTAGAAAGAGAATGGTGACACTAAAACTTTTCTTCTTTTTTCTAGTAGCCAAAATCTAGAAAACACTCTATTCTTTTTTTTCTTTCTTTTTTTCTTAACATCTTTATTGGAGTATAATCGCTTTACAATGTTGTGTTAATTTCTGCTGTATAACAAAGTGAATTAGCTATGTGTATACATACATCTGCATATCCCCTCCCTCTTGCACCTCCCTCCCACTCTGTCTATCCCACCCCTCTAGGAGGTCACAAAGCACAGAGCTGATCTCCCTGTGCTATGCGGCTGCTTCCCACTAGCTATCTATTTTACATTTGGTAGTGTATATCTGTCAATGCTACTCTCTCACTTCGTCCCAGCTTACCCTTCCCCCTCCCCATATCCCCAAGTCCATTCTCTATGTCTGAGTCTTTATTGCTGTCCTGCCCCTAGGTTCATCAGAACCACTTTTTTTTTTTTTAGTTTCCATATATATGTGTTAGCATACGGTATTTGTTTTTCTCTTTATGACTTACTTCACTCTGTATGACAGACTCGAGGTCCATCCACCTCACTACAAATAACTCAATTTTGCTTCTTTTTGTGGCTAAGTAATATTCCATTGTATATATGTGCCACATCTTTATCCATTCATCTGTCGATGGACACTTAGGTTGCTTCCATGTCCTGGCTGTTGTAAATAGAGCTGCAATGAACATTGGGGTACATGTCTCTTTTTGAATTTTTTCTCAGGGTATATGCCCAGTAGTGGGATTGCTGGGTCATATGGTAGTTCTATTTTTAGTTTTTTAAGGAACCTCCAGACTTATTCTCCGTAGTGGCTGTATCAATTTAATTCCCACCAACGGTGCAAAAGGGTTCCCTTTTCTCCACACCCTCTCCAGCATTTATTGTTTGTAGATTTTTTGATGATGGCCATTCTGGAACACTCTACCCTTTTTTGTTTGTTTTACCATCTATAAAATGAAGGATTAAAGTAAACCTCAGTGTTGAAAAGGTTGCTGTTTGTAGGAGGAATAGGTAGAAGTAAATGTGGAAGGGATAGGCAAAAGTAAATCTTTTAATATTTTCAGATGCATAATAATGAGATCAGAAAATTAGTGGTTTGACAAATGGAAAGTTTAACTTTGACCTAAATTAGGAAACTGTGTATATTTATAAGATCAAGAGGACCAGGAGAAGTAAGTCTTAAACTTATTTCATAGGCATTAAAGTCAAATGTTCTAGTAACAGTTTCAGAAAGGATATATTAAAGTTATTTACTGAGTATAGGCAGTATCTGCTTCTTATTTCATTGTGTTCTTGGTACCTGCATTGTAGAGCTATCCTGTTTTAGGGAGCATTATTAAAATGGGGTTGTATTCCTGACCAATGATATAGCAACAGATAAATAAAATTATTCATTCAATAATATATATGTATATACATACATGATTTGGGGTGTTGTGTGTATGTGAGAGAGCTATACAAATTGATATGATTGCTATGAACAATCTGAAAAAGCAAAATAAGATTCATAATTATTATGAAATTATGCCAAAAGGCTGATTAAATGTAGAGTGTAGACTTGTAGAGTGTAGACTTCCAATAACTAAGGACACCAGACAGAAAAATAATGGGGTTGAGATTCAACTGAACTTGAATGCTCATTCACATTCACTACACTGGATTGTGTCCCTACTGATCTTATATTTGTTTCGTATAAATACACTAGTTATAAAAAGCATTATTCAAGTATTTAATTAACAGTCTTACACGTTTTACATTTTATTATTATTATTATTTTTGGCCATGCCCCATGGCGTGCAGGATCTCAGTTTCCCAACCAGGAACTGAACCCGGGCCATGGCAGTGAAATCCTGGAATCCTAGCCACTAGGCCACCAGGGAACTCCCATTACATGTTTTAAATTTTAAAGGTGGCAGTGATGGTGGTGATGAAGTGATTTGGATGAGAGATCTGTAGCATAGTGTTTGGTGCAATTTAAATAGAAAAATTTGTAGTAAGCCAGAGATATTGAGAACCATTACATTAACTTTAGAACTATGTTCAAAGTTCTGCTCATTCTTTTTAAAAAAACAAAACAAAACATTGTATCATGTAAACATTTGGTGACATCCTTGAGGAATTTAGCTGTTTTTGCAAAGCAGAGCTTTCGAAATAGTATAATCATAGTATATATACTATGTATGTATAGTATATATACATAGTATATAATAGTATATATAATGGTATAATGATGATACCATTTTCTTTTTGATTTTTCTCTTGTCACCCACCACAACTAGGGCAGCATTAAAAGGGAAAAATGTCCTTTTAGGACAAGTTTGTTGCGATTGCAGATGCAAAAGGCAGAGAGGCAGACCTTAGAGATTGCACTAGAGGTACCTTTGCGAATCTTTGGGGAGTGAAGTGGTCAAAGTATAAGTGAAGTATGGGTGTTAGAGATGAGGAGCACAGCAGATCTTTAGCATGCGATTTGTAGACTGAAGAAAAAGTGGTTTGTTTTTATGTTTGTATTTCTATGTAGACTTCACTTAGTGGTTAATACTATTTTGAAAGCACATAGATTTTTATTTATGTTATTTACCTAAAGTCATTTAACTTTAGGGAATAAGTTGGAAAATAGAAAGTTTCTATTAAAGGAGTAACTCTCATATGCTAATTATTTTATGGAGGAAGTATTGAAAACAGAAAAGAATTACTTAAAAGTAAAATGATAAAATATATGTAATGATTAGAAAGAAAAACATCTGAAAATACACTTTAGAAAAAACAGACGTATTAACTTAGAAATTTTCAGTACTCTTAATCTTTACCATGAGTAATTTTCTTCTGCTAGGAGTATGGCTGGGCCTGGTAATAGCTTCTTGGATCTATATTGACTAGGCCAGAGTCCTTGTATGTCTGTATTTGTATTATATTTATAGTTGTATTAGAATCTCCAGGAGAGAGTTTGCATCTTGGAAAAACATATTAAAGAAATCTATTCTTTTGTAATGTTGTTTGTTTATTTATTTATTTTTGGCTGCATTGGGTCTTCGTTGCTGCCCACGGGCTTTCTCTGGTTCCGGCAAGCGGAGGCTAC